AAATATCTTTGATAAAATACTTGGTTTTTGAGGTACACCGAGGAGATTCGACAGAGACGCTGAATGCTGTTTCGCGGCTACTTTAACTAATGTTTCCTGCAATCAGATTGAAAAGAAAAAAAAATTAATTTATTAATGCACGACAAAAGTTGTACGTTTCTTGTAAATTTAAATATTGATGAAGCAAAAACTGACAACAATAACACCAACGTGACATTTGTATACATAAAGTGTATCAAAAGATTCCCGCGAATCATATATAACACATAAATCAAGAGTTCCGCAATAAGGTGTATTTTTGTTGAACTCACATGCTTGGATCTTAAACGTCCACGTACAACTACGACTCGTAGCCACCTTTTGAAAATGCCTGGCGAATCTTCGTACATTTTTTTTCAATTTCTATAGCATTGATCGTCGTTTCCTTTTTTTATTAGTTTTTTCTTTTTCTCAAAGAGCTTAGGTATTTTTTTTCCATCTATCAGCACGCATTTTATCATCACAAGTAGTTTCGTTTGATTTTATTTTGAGACTAGCGTTTGGAAAAAAATTTTTTTTTTTTTTTTAGTCAAACAATAGCATTATTTTTTTTTCATGAACCATCAGTTTACTTGAAAGATTTTATCGGTGCAATTGTTGATTCAAATTTCAATAAAAAATAAAGTATTCAGAACAGTACGATTGATATGTTTTTATAATTTTGTATCCGTACCATTCAACGTAAGTACACCTTAAAAAACGGTTGAAGAACAAAAAAAAATAGTAAAGTTTTTCTGTTCACAATGTACCGATTTTATACCATGAATTCTCGCAGACACAGGTTGAAACAATAATAGAACCCAACGGCCAATTTGAAAGTCAAAGCTCGACGTCGCACTCATCAAACCGTTAGCACGAACTTTACCACGAAATCACAGGTGAATATAAACAGCAACTCATTAACGCGGAATGGTTTAATTTTACTTATTGTTGTTTTTCCATTTTCGAGTGGTTTTTTTTATTTCTTTTTTTCTCCATCCACACGATACGCCAATTGAAACGCAACAAACAACTGTGCGCAAGGTGAAATAGATGGAAAACTCAATCGCTACTGAAACGCAACACAAAGTATGTAGGTATCATTTCTGGCGCAGCGATACCAAAAAAAAAGAGGCATTAGCGTTTCTAAAAATGTCGTTTTTCAAGAGCTTCTCCTCGATCCAAACGAACTTCATCGTCGTGCATGCAGTTCCCAAGTCATGTGACAGTCCAAGCGACGATGCGATTTTCTACGCACTCGATCGCGGCTTTACGTAACAAACAATAAAGTCATCGGCTGCACCGCGCGGACAAATAACTTTCCTCGTCAACGAAACGCAGTCGCACGATTAGTTATGAATTCCCACGAGCGGGGATATAAATACACCATTCGCGTCACTGCACTATTGGGTACTTGAATCGGCAACCGATTTTTGGGAAAAATTTGCGACGCGCGAGAATCTGACCTCTGATGGTCGAGTACTGGCGGGTGCGCGTGCATAATATATATAGTTGCTGATGGCGTAGGCGCGATCACCTCATCTCTGGGCCATCGTTGATTGAGATTTCATATTTTTAGCGCTACTCTCGTAAGATTCGCGGGTCGAGAGACGCGGTTCTATACGATCGGCGGTTGATAAAATCGTTCATTAGTTTCTAAAATCGTCATGATGTTGTGCGGAGGATCAATTTTCAACCTATCGAATTGAGTGTAACAATGTTTTGCGTGCTTGGTAAAAAATAATTGAGCTAAACGTTAAGTACATCGACGCTTCAGGCGAAGAGCATGACTTTTAAATTTTTTTAATTTTTAAATTAAAAAAAAAAAGAAAAATCACGTGTTTTTTATAAAAAAAAAAATAGGAAAAATATCTTTCGACTGGGACGTCACTATGCATTCCAACGTTACCACTCAAATCATCTTTGGCATTGGCAACTAGCTGGTTACAATTTATTTTTCGAATTCTATTGCACTGAATGAAAAAAAAAAAAAAAAAATTAACTTAACATTTTTAAGCAGATGTTGCATGATATTTCGAAGCAGTTCATCGGAATCGCATTTTATTATGTGTTTCATATCGTTAGTAAAGTAAATTTAATGAAAATAATGACTATTGAATGGACGACAGACTATTGGGTATTTTCTGCTCATTGAATTTGATAAGATTTTTATGTAACATCAAAATAAAATTCTGACAAATCAAGTAGAAAAAATAAATTACACTCTCATAGTCAAGCCATCGATCCAAATAATGAGCAGCCAACAACATCGGTGTCTTATAAATAACAAGATACACTAATTTTACGTGTAGCCAATTACAAAAAAAAAAAATAATAAATAAATAAATAAAAATTATTCAATGTAACTTAACATAAGACGAACAATTGCAAGACTCACCCTTGAATCGGGAGTACAACTCCCACAACAGTAGTAAAAGACGGATTTCATTTTGGTCGGATCTGATATGGTCATTTCGGTCTCCTTTATTTGAAATAATGCACTGTTGCGTACTGCTCGAGCCTGTTCCTTATTCTTAATGGCCCTCTTTTGTAGCGTCAACCCGGCGCGCCGTAATTCTGAAACAATTAATTTTCACATTCAGCAAGCATACTGAATTCGGATTCTTTTTCGCTATGGTAAAAGGTCACCCGAAAGTGCCATTTTTATATTTGATAGAGCTGAAATTCGGTAAATATTTTTATTTTATGCCAAAGTTTAATAGTTGCACATCGAGTTTTATCCACAGAAAATCGCATTAGCACTAGAATCGCAGAAATTAAAAACATAGTTCAATTTTATTCATGTAACTTTTCAAGTGTCATACTTTAATTAGTTTAAAAAAAAGTTCTGTACTAAAAATGATATATTTTATAGTTTTCGATTCTAATACTTGACAAATGTAAAAAATGAGTGACGTATTACTTTTTTNAACGTTTTCATCGGTGAATCAAGCGTAATAGGTAGGTATTGCTGTGAAAATTCTCTGTAAAGTCCCTTTGTAAGCTCATGTAAAAGTGCCAACTTTATGTCTTTTTTTTTCTAAAGTAGAGCAATTTGTTTTGGGCTTGGCAAGTACATTAATAAAGGGTTAATTGACAAGATGTACTTTTTTCTAAACTTTCTTATCATGAAGCAAATCATACAGAATTATACGTCAGTCTGGCTTTAAACCAGAATAAATATGTTTTTATTCCAAGTAAATAGATGCTAAATTTGTATTAAGCAGTATTTTAGTGACCCTTAATTTGTTTCTTAGTAACATAGGTATTTATTCAAATTTAATAAATATTTATGTAACTCATAATTAATTACTTTCTACTTGTTGTGATGAGAATACTTGGAGTACTCGTAGGAAATCAACATTTAAAAAATATATGATGCATTTATACCTTTTATTATAAATTCAAAGCAAGAAAAGTAAAAAAAAAAACAGCATAAACTATTTATGGTCATTTTAAGAAGATAGAACTGTCATTACCTATTATTTTATTGCGTGGTGCCGTAAAATCAATAGTTATGAGTATTAAAGTATGTAGTGGATTTTACTAAACTAGTTATTTTAAATGTGCTTTGCGTGATCTGAATAACTGGGAGTACATGTAATAGGTATTTTTTTTCCATCTATCAGCACGCATTTTATCATCACAAGTAGTTTCGTTTGATTTTATTTTGAGACTAGCGTTTGGAAAAAAATTTTTTTTTTTTTTTTTCGATTCAGGCTATTGCAACTACACAATAAATGATAAAATTGTAGAAAATAGAAGTCCAGGCTGTCTAAAACATCAAAGCAGATAGACACTAACCCGTTAAAACGCTTAAAATCTAAGTTTTTGGTGTTTAAAGATAGCCAAAACTTAAAACGACCGTATCTCCGTAAATAATAGAGAAAGAGCGAAATAAGCCCTAATTTGGGATCAACAAAATTAAAAAATTTTTTTTTTTTTTTTTTTGATTGAGGCTATTGCAACTACACAATAAATGATAAAATTGTAGAAAATAGAAGTCCAGGCTGTCTAAAACATCAAAGCAGATAGACACTAACCCGTTAAAACGCTT